GGAGAAGTCCACTGAACTGGGCTGGACGGCTCTTTGGAAAACCACCTCATCTTTGGGGAACGCCTCTTGGCTTAGTGCTCCACTCCCCAATTTCCCGACACTTTTCAAGAGTTTCAAAACAAAAACAGAAAAGAGAGGAAGAAAAACAAAGAAAAGGAAAGCACACATTTTTTGGGAAAAGGTGTTCTTCACACACCGGAAGGCTGCAGGGGCTCTGCCATCCGTCACTGCACCCGCTCAGTGAAATTCTCAGGGAAGAGCCCCAGGCATTTCTCCAGCTCTTTGTGCTGGTTCCAGTCGCTCTCCTTCACTCCCATGAGCCAGCCTTCATCCTGCGGCCAACAGAGCATGGGTAACAAGGGCACACATCATAACACCCCTCAGTACACAAAAACCCAAGCAGATGGGGGAGGAGCCAGCCTGCCCGCCTGCTGTCTGATTCCTCTGTGCCTGGACATTGCACTGCTCTAAGCCTCAACTGTGTCCCCAGTACCAACCCATAACCATCTGCTACGTGCAAATGTATCCCTCCTAGAATCCAGACCAGTTGCCACCTGTCTCCTCTCATAGCTCTTACACGAGCCAAGTAGCTCACCTGCTCTGGGAAGGGATCCTAAATGAAGAAGGGCTATAGGCCATGATGAATAATAGCTGTCACACACTAACTACACCACTGTTCTTCCAGACAGTCCTTATCCAGTCCTTGGGACACAAAACATCTGCCTCAGCCAGAAACACAAGTGTCTCACAATCTAGTCATGATTGCTAATAATCCTGGACACATTCCCTTGTCCCAACACCCTCTCCTCTCCTCTCCTCTCTCCTCTCCCCCTCTCCTCTTCTCTCCGCCTCCTCCCGGCAGAAACTTCCTTCAGAACCCATTGCCTTGTCAACTCTAAGAAACCTGGAGGGTGCTCTGACTCCTGTGTGTCTCTCTGGGACAGGGTTTCCCAAACCCAAACAACTTCCAAAAAAACCCAACTAGCAGTTAAAAGCTTCTAATCAGACCTGGGGTGGGGGGGGGGCTGAGAAAGGATGATTACAAGTTCAAGGCCAGCCTGGACTACAGAGTGAATTCAATGTCATCTTGGAACAATTTAGTGAGTTCTTGGCCCAAAATTAAAAATTAAACAAGAGAGCTGGGGATATAGTGTGGTAGTAGGGCATACATGTGGCCCTTAACTCAAAATAATACCCAGCACTGAAAAAGAAACAAAGGAGGGGAGTGAGATGGCTCCCTGGAAGAAGGTGCTGGCTGCCAAGCCTAACAAGCTGAGTTCAATCCCTGAATCCTACCTGGTGGAAGGAGAGAAAAAAAAGAAGACTCCTGTAAATTGTTCTCTGACCTCCACTCATGGATCATGCCACACACACACACACACACACACACACACACACACCACCACCACCACCACCACCACCACCACCACCAGCAGCAGCAACAACAACAACAAATAAATAATGAATTAAAAATTTAAAGCCTCTGGCAGATATGTACAACTTTTAGACACTGTGACAGCTACTATCCATTAAAAGTCCATGCTTGAGTTGAAAACATAAAAGAACAAAAATTCCCATACTATTGGGGATTGGGATGTGGTGAGTTGGTAGCATGCCTGCCTGGCATGCACCAGGTCCATCCCTGACACCACACACCAGGCACGGTGCTGCATGCTTGCAATCCCAGAACTCTGGAGGCAAAGGCAAGAAGAGCTGAACTTTAAGAACATTCTTAGCTGCATGGCAAGTTCCAGGCCAGCCCCAGACACATGAGACCTTGTCTCAAAACAAAAGCAAAATGTTTTAAATAGGTTTGCCATTTTATGTTGGGTTGCATTCACAGCTATGCCAGGGCACATGTGGTCCACGGGCTACAGGCAAAACATGCCTGCTAGACGGCCCCAAATCCATTCTATTAAGCCCTTCGATTCCAACTTGCTTTTTCTTTCAATACTAACCAGCACAGGAGTTCTCTCTGTAGGCCCTCACTGCTGAAGTTACAGTGGCTGTCCCAAAGTTGAACCGTGCCTGGAAACTTCCTAGGTCTTTGCAATTTTGTTCTATCATTATTCACATTGCTATGGATCTCTGCATTTTATTGACTCCGTATATAACCTATGTCAATACCTCTGGTACCCATACACATCCCCCTGCTGGCTGGAGGCCAGGATTTATGCTTCTTAAAATCCCATCCACAAGGAAAGACCCACCGAAGTGGCCAGTGGATAGAGATCTAGGGCTTTAGAAACAGCAGCAGATGGGGCTAGAAAAATGGCTCAGTTAGTAAAGTCCTTGCCACTCAAGCATAAGGATCTGAGTTCAAACTTCAGAGTCCACATAAAAAGCCAGAAGCAGGGGCATGTATTTAAATCCCAGCACTGAAGGAGAGATGGGCTGGTCCTATCTCAAAGATATAAGGTAGATGGCTACACACACACACACACACACACACACACACACACAAAGCTGCTGCAGTAGATTTAAGCCTGGGTACTCCGTGCAGCTCAACCCATACCTACTTAGGGCAAGGGCTAGCCAAGGTGTTCAGTGTCTGCATGGGTGCCATCAGCACCCCATGGAGACTCATTATTCCAGCAGTGAGGCAGAGGAGTCAGCCACAAGCTAGGAGGGACATAGCCCTAGCCCAGATCCATTAGGGGCTGCCTTCCAAAGTTAACTAAACATAAGGAGGTCACAGCAGTAAGAAAGGTCTAGAAGACTCAGCTAAGAACACAGCTGAGGAGCTGTGCAGAGTAGAGCCGGCCCTGAAGGTTGATATGAGCCTAGCGCTCTGTCACTGAAGGCAGGAACCCTGGAGAAGACTCATGACCAAGAGCATGGCAAAGATAAGAAAGAAACGCAGATGTACAAAGTAGGCAGGGCAGCTGGAAGAAAGGTAGTGAAGTACAACAGGCTAAAGTGAGAGGCACAGACAGACAGAGGGGGCCAATGGGAGGGAAAGACAGGAGGGGGACAGGGAGAGTAATATAAATGAGATGAAAGAAAAGGGAGGAGCAGATAATTGCAACCTAGCCTCACCCTGCTAGAGTGGGCCTCTGCTGCCCCCTACTGTCTATCCACACCATTGTAGCAGCAGCCCGGGATTCCCACAGACCACTAGGCTCACCTGCTCCTCTGGGTTCTGGAAGGGGATCACCAGCACCACATCACCAGCTTTGAGTTGAAGTTCATCAGTGTCAGTGGCCGTATAATCGTGCTGGGCTTGCACCTGCAGAAGTTGGTAGAGCATGTCAGGGGGACACCCCAATCCAGCCCATAAAAGATGGAAGCCTTTCTTTATGCTACTCTGTACATCAGCCTTAATTTAAGAGTGAGCCATGGGGCTCCTGGGCTAAGCATCTGAGCCTGTAAATGAGGGTGACCCTGGCTCCCACGGCACCTGGGACAAAGGCTACATAGCTAGCTTAAGCTCACCTTGAACATGAAGCCCGGGGGCATGTCCAAGCTCCCAGTCCCACTGCTGCCTTCCACAGGGCCATTCACAGTTGCTGAGAAGGTCTCCACCACCACGGCGGGAAGAGAGCTCTGGGGTTCAGGGGATAAGTCAGTCACACTAATGGAAGTGTGGGGAAAGCCAGGGCCACAGGAGGGAAGGGAATGAGTTCATGTCCGGTACCAAACTACCCTGCCCTGTGCTCTTCCAGGGAACTGTGGTCTGCACCAGCATGGGTGAGGAATACAGGCAAGCTGCAGACAGGCAGAAGACAGACAGCACTGGACAGACAGACAATGGGGAAGAAAAAACAGGGCACGGTCCCTGCCATCTTACGGAGGCTGCTTCACTGGCCGCTGTCTCCCCTGGCTCCTGGGCTCCACCCACCACCTCGGAGGCCTCTGCTGGCTGCAACATAAAATGCCAGCAAGAGATCAGACAAGGAGCAGGATGCCACATCCATGACACACCACAGGAGGGCAGCGTGCAAGTGAGAGAGCCACAGGTATTGGCCTGGCTGACCTAGAAATGTGTCTCACACAATCCAGGAGCATCCTGCAGGACAGGCTGATCGCTGTACAGGAGTCGACTGGAGGCTGGCTGACACAGGTGTGGCAAGCATGTAAAGAATGGGCTACGCCTCATTGAATGGCAAGCACACTATGGTGAGTGCTGCCCCCACCTCTGCCTTACAGGTAGGCCCTTCCTCTAAATACCCAGTGTCCTCCTGGCCCCTCTGCCAGCCACGCTGGCCCCTCACAGGTTAGCTGAAGCCTGGTGGATGGCCTGGACCCATTAAGCATGCTTAGGAAACAGGCAGCCTTTTCCAGTCCTGGATGCTGCCTTCTCCACAGGTACAGCGTCAGAGCCTGGGCACTACAGTGGTAGACCATGACGAAGGCTTCACCATGGGCTAACCTCTACCAACACTCAGACTCAGCCACATGTGAGCACAGGAACCTAGTTACACAACCTGTCTGCCCTCTACTTCCTCAAGTGTAGCGAAGAAGAAAGTATCTGCTTGATAAGGTTATGATGAAGTCAGGCCAGAAAAATTCTAGGAAATGCCTAGACAGAACAACCTGTTACGTCCTCCGAAATTTCCCTCCCTTCCCACTCTGAGGGGTTGCTCTGAGGTAAGAGAGTAGGAGAGGGTAGATGTGACATGAGCCATGATCATCCACCTTAGGCACCACCTAGTAACACCATCCCGGGACCACCAGGTCTTGTCCATACTGTATGTTTCCTCTGGCTCTTTGTCCACACTACACCCCAGAGATGGGAAGAAGCCAGATGGGAACAAGGGGACACTTACTTGGGCAGGCCCTGGCTCGGCTGTCTGGCTGGGCCAGGCCACAGCAAAGGTGCCCTCAGCAGAACTGGGCTCCCCGGAAGGCAGGATGCCAGCTAGACTCTCTGTGGACTAGTGACAAGCCACCAGGATGGGGAAGGGTGAGAAGGCCAGGGAGACAAGAGAGGGTGATCTTGAGTGGCCAGCATTAACAAGGGATGTGGTCTGAGATAGCAGCCTGGTCGGTTTTGTGGGGCCAACTGCCTCCCGTGGCTCTGTTTCTGCCATGATGAAGGGGTGAGGCAGGTGTGATGCTACCACACAGCATAGCATCTACCAAAATGGTCAAAATGGCCCTGCCAGCCCACTCCAGCCTTATTTCTCTGGCAATTACAGAAAGACGTGTGTGTGTGTGTGTGTGTGTGTGTGTGTGTGTTTATGTGTATGTGTGCTTGTGCACATATGTGACACACATGATCTTGTGTGTGGAGGCCAGAGGTCCAGTTCTGACGTCTCTTCCATCACTATATACTTGGGTTTTTTGAGACAGGGACTCTCACTGAAGCTTCAGTTCACCGTTTATTTCAGCTAGGCTGGCTGACCAGTGATATCCAGTGATGCCCCAATCTCTGCCTCCCAGTGCTGGGGTCACAAGCTTGAGCCACCACACCTGGTATCTTTTTTTTTTTTTTTTAATTTGTTTACTTATTTTTATTACATATTCAGTGTTCTGTCTGCATATTGCCTGCACGCCAGAAGAGGGCACCAGATCTCATGATAGATGGCTGTGAGCCACCATGTGGTAGCCGGGAATTGAACTCAGGACCTCTAGAAGAGCAGTCAGTGCTCTTAACCTCTGAGCCATCTCTCCAGCTCCTGGTATCTTTTTAAAAGATTTATTTATTATTTTATTTACATGTATGTGTGTGCCCATAGAAGTGTATTTGTACCACATGTGTGCAAGGGCCTGCAGAGCCTAGGAGGCATCAGATGCCCCTGGAACTAAAATTATTGACAGTTGTACACCACCAATGTGGGTACTAGGACCAGAACCCAACAAGGGCAGCAAGTGCTCTTAACCACTGAACCATCTCTCCAGCCCAATCAAACTCAACTAGCACTTTCCAGAATGAAGCTTTTATGGAAACTTTTGAGCCCCCAGAGTCCTGGCTGCTGTGTGGCCCAACAGTACCAGCCACACTGACTGGACTTTGCCAGATTGTGTCCTGGAACCCAGGTTTTATTATGATCAATTCCAAGTGTGAGTCTTTCCAAGTCTGAATCCCCATGCCCAGGGCTCCCAGGGGTCAGTCCCCAGAAAAACAGGTTTCTACCACTGCCTTGGAATCAGGACTCCTTGACTCTTCTAGATGACCTGCTTGCTAGTTGTCAAGGTAAACACCAGACCTGAAATCTAACCAAAACCAATGTAGGACCCAGTCTTGAGCTACCAAGGAGCCCATTCCTGTGACCCTAATAAAGGGATGTATTGTCAGTGGCCCCTGTGCATTTTATGAGCATGGAGAAGTGAGCATGCCATATGCAAACTGGGTGGAGGGGTGAGTGGGCCTTTACACACAAAGCAGCAGCCCCCAGGGGTGTGGCTTACCTCCCAGAGATCCCATGGGATTGGCTGAGTGCAGCAGTAATGGGAAAAGGACAGAGTCAGTACAGAGGTTAGAGACAGGGTAGCAAGCACACCCAGGGACCCCATCCACACCCCAACCCAATGGGCTCCAAATTGGGCAATGAGGGCTTCAGGGAGGCCCACAGAGTGGCTAATAGAGGGGCAGGATGCTGGAGTGACCAGAGGTGTGGGACAAGTCCTGAGTGAAAGTAACACAGCTAGCCCACATCTACTCTGGCCTACATCCAAAGGAGGCAAGAGGGCTAAAGGCTAGGACACTGGGCAAAAGTCCTAGTGACCTGTCCCCTCACCCTCAAAGCCTTGAGTCTATGTGGCTCACACAAACACAAGGCCTGGTCCTGAGGCTGATGGGCCATGGGCATTGGCGGACACAACCAACCTGACCAGAGGGTGTGGGTGCCTTCACAGGGCTTGCCACTGGCGGAAGGGGGTCGAAGTCCAGGTCTAGTAGACTGGCCTGCTCTGAGAAAGGCCCAGGGGCCTCAAACTTGGTAACAGCAGCAGCGGAGGGAGAAACAGTTAGTAACAGACTGAGCCTATGCCTGTGCACACAGAGGAAAGCGGATTCACACACATACACACACACACACACACACACACACACACACACACACACACACACACACGTAAAAGTACTGTCCACAACTACACAAACTAGTACAGGCTCCGACCTATGTGAAGACATCTGACCCCAACTAGGACATCCAACAACTGGTCAGTTTTTCCATCAGCCAAGATCAGATCACTCCCATCCCTTCTCTATGCTTTGCCCTTACAAGTTTACCTGACTTTTTCCTGTGTATCAAGAGCATCACAAGGCTGTGGCCTGAGCTGGACATGCCCACCAAGAGGCCCCCAGGTCAAAGGTTTCACTTTAGTAGTATTCAGGCATCTGTACTAGCCTGTCCTTGGTGGTGGCACATGCGTTTAATCCCAGCACTTGGGAGGCAGAGGCAGGTGGATCTCTATGAGTTCAGGCCAGCCTGGTGTACAGAGTGAGTGCCAGGACAAACTCCAAAGCTACTGAGAAACACTGTCAGAACCCCAAAGGTAGGCTAGTACAGATGCCTGAATACTAACACACACTGGCACCCAGCCAAGCTACCTACTGGGACACCCCAACCTGCCATACAGCTCTAGGGATGAGAAAAGACTTAGCAGCAACAATATATGCCCCAATAGTGTCTTCAGTGTGGGATCCCAGTGTCAGGGAGCTTGGGGTACCTGCATTACAGCTGTAGATGATACCCACAGATACCTCCAGAGTCCCTTTGGGGGAACCTGACTGCAGCCCAAAAGCATACATGAAGCTAGTACTTCACCAACAATGTAAAGCTCCAATGAACCCCTGGCCAGCACATCATGGGAGGTGTCTGTCTCCAGCCCCTTGAACAAATCAGTCATAGCTGGCCAGGACAGGCTTCCAAGGCTGGGCAGGTTCTGAGCAACACCAGTTCCCTGGGGACATGCAGACTTGGCTGCCTTAATAAAGAAGCTGCAATCTTGTTTTGCTTGCAGGCTTCCTCCTCAGAGCTATGGAAGACTTCACCCCAGTCCAAGCAGAGATATGGCTCAGCATTCTCCCTCCCCAGCACTTGGGAGATGGCAGAGGGGCTCTAGCCCTGCAAGGGCAGGTCAGTAACTTCTTACCTCCACTTGCTTTCCACAAGAGCCCAACACACACAGAGTGCCCCAGACCCCTGTCCATCCCAGTCAACTTTGTGGTGTGACCTATGGCTCTTCAGAGGAGCCTCTCTGGTATGGAGGATACTAAAAGCCCACACAGCATGAGAATCTGGGGTCCCTTTCAGTTGGGCCAGGCCAAGTGGACCCACTTCCCAGAACAAGTGGCTTCAGGTTGACCCTTAGCCTACTTTCCTTCTAGTCCAGCCTTGTCTGAAAGCTAGGCTAGAGACATCATGGCCTCAGGACTTTGAGATGCCTCCTACCCAATGATACAGGCACCTCTGTCACACAGCCACCAATCTCAGCCCTTCCACACTTCTTAGAAGTCACCCAAGCCCAGACAGCAATACTCCCAAAGTTCTGTCAGGGGAGGCCCACAGTCAGGATGTTGCCCATGGTCTCTCAGTCCTGCCTGTGGCAAATGGCTTTCCCATACAAGACCACGGCACTGAATGGATGCAGACTGCTCCCCCACATCACACCAAGCAGCCAGTTGACACCAGCACTGTGGACAAAATGAGCCCATCCCCACGCATGCAATACCACCCAAAGTACTCTTCCACCCCGAGACAGACGGATGGCCCCAGTCCCTGTGGATGGACACAGGAAGTAGCAACAAGCAAGGCATGCAATGACATGAGGGGACAGGCATGCATGGAGCCTGGTGGGCCATTCTCTGGCTCCCTCTGACACATGGCCACAGGATAAGTTGTACATCGGATAAATGGGGTGTGTCCCCTCACATGAGGGGATTGGAAAACCAAACAAGACAATACAAGAAAGTAGCTATGCCATCTCCACTCAGCACCTGCTGGCTCTCCTAATATCATATGCTCTCATTTTAAACACATGCCAGTCACCTGCCCAGGTACCCTCAAGACACAGGCATGCTCAGGAAGGGAAGGGCCTACAACAAGCTAGCCTGGAGAGTTTCAGCCCATTCCCACACTGCCTATTCCTACCTGCCTCTGTATCACCTGCTAGCACAAAGGATCACCCGTAGTCCTTCCATGGGAGCTGAAGGCCTGCCTTCTCTAGGTTCCTATTGCAGCAGCCACTGCTCTCCATTCCAAGTTCCCACCCTCAGACCCTGTCCCCCTTCTCCAGATATCTGGGGGAAGGTAGAGCCTAGAGATGCCTGGGAAGGGCTCTGGCCAAGTTCCCGAGGGTCACCTCCTCAAAAGGGAAGCCCTGCATGGGCATGGGGTGGGAGGCTAGGAGGCTTAAGGCCAGCTTGAAGCAGGGAGCTGATCACTCCAGGCTGGTGTAACTGTGTGTCAGCCACTCCAGTCTTAACAAGATGAATCTTCCACCGCACAAGGCACCTCTCTCTCTTATCTCCATCTGAGGGCGGGCATGCCATGGCATTTACAAACAGCAGCCCTGGCAGATAAGTCTCTGCCCCTGGTCATTACAGTATCCAAGAGGGCTCTGCCAGTGCCAGCCACCTGCTCCATTTAGTGAGTCTGTCTCTTGTCCCTTCTGACCTAGTTCTGATATCTCTAAAGCAATGTCTGAGAATCCTTCCAGGCAAATGTCATCTGCACTAGGGAGGGTCCCATGGCTGCCCAACCACTCCATGTCCCCATTACAGCATCAGTCACTGTGTGTGACTGCCAAGCTGACCACCACCATGAGAAACAGGGAAGGCTCGTCACTATCACGGCCCTTTATCTAGCAATGGTGCATGCTGGGGTTGGTGGGATGGATGACGATGGAAGAATGATGGACAGGGGGAGATGGACAGATCAAAGATGGAGGCTCCAGCCCATCTCTCCAGCCAAGTTCTTGGCTCTTGAGAGAAGCTTAGAGTTCAGGGCGGAGAATGGAAGGCCATGCACGCTGTGAGAGAGAGAGAGAATAAGGCAAGGGGAGAAGACTGGGCCGCGGTGGACACGGCTGACCTGGGAGGGGGTGGTCACGCTGATCTCAGGGACAAATGCGTCATCAAAAAGGCTGAGAATCTGCTCCTGCTTCATCTCCTTGGATGGGGTGTGTTTGGGAGGCGGAGGGACAGGTGGGCCTTTCCTGAGCTGTGGGCCAGCAAGTGGGGAAGCATGGGAGGCATGGCAGAGCACGGCACAGGAAGACAGAGACAAAGCCATGGTTACGTTAGTCACTCCCGGGTCACTGAGGAGAACAAACAAGTCATTGCTCCCCCAAACAGACACCAAGGTAACAGGCCACCCCAAGAGAAGAAACCGAGAATGAAGGTCCAAAACCACTGTGCACAAAAAAGGAGGAAGAGGGAGGAGACAGAAGCAAAGAGGGTAAACAAAGGCAAAGCAAGTGACCCATCTGGCCTCAACCCCTGACATGTTCCCATAGCCCACTGGGGGAAGGTCGGCCCTACCTCTTAGGAGGGAACTTGGATTTAAAGGCCACCTCCCCTGCCCATCTCTGCCCTCCCACAGACCTTTCCTTCACTTCCCTAGGCTGGGACTGCCCAAAAGGAGCTTCAGCTCAGGCTCAGGCTATCCCTATGGAAGCCAGCCTGAACTAGGTCCCCAAAGGACCACACATATGTAGACCAGGTGAAGGATTGCTCTAATCTTGGCTTCTTCCCACTTGCCCAGGGCAGTGAAAAAGGTGTGGCCAGCACTGGCCTGGGACCCAAGCTCACTGATGGCAGCACATTGTTCAGGTGTGGGCTTTTACAGCTACTCTTGGCATCGTGGTCCTAATTTCCCATGAACAGAAGCAAGAGGGTTCAGGCCCTTCAATCCCACCCAGCTGCTATCTATCAGGACCTCTGCAGGAATCAGAGGGCTTGATGAAACAGGACAGGATGGAGATGACTGAGGCCATGCATCTATCCCCTCTGCCCCCAGCCTTTCCTCACTGAGACCATTCTTTTTCTGTTCCTTTGACGGTCCTGTGAGACCATCTGATGGGGTTCTTCTCTCAATCCCTGCCAGAGAAAGGGCAAAACCTCCTGAGTCTGGAGAGAAACTGGATACTTAAGGGCTGAAAACCCAGATCAACTAGGGAGTCAAGGAAACAGGACAGGGAGACGGGAAGGGGAAGTACCTCACTTCTATGGATGGAAATGTTTACAAATACCATCATCAAGTAGACCAGGGCCACTGAGAGAGTGTAGGTTCAGTGTAGCCCATGTAGACTGAGTCCTCCATGGAGCACAGCCTCAGATTCAAAACCTGTTTGGCCCCAGGCAGGAGATGATGGAGAAAGGGGAGGAGATAAAAGCAGAGTAAGAGAAGGAAAAAAATGACAGGTCATGGAGATAACAGACATGCCTACCTGGGATGGGGACTTGGGGATGGTGGCACCAGGTGAGGCCCCACTGGCCGGCTCTGGCTCGTGGTTCACTCTGATCTCAGGGGTAGCAGCAGGGGAGCCATCTGGAGGAGGTGAAGGGCTCTTGTTCCCTTTTTCAGGCGCATTGTCACTGTAGAAGAAGGACAAAAAGGGAGTGGTACCAGTAGGACAATGAGCTAGAAGACATGGAGCAGTCTGTGAGCACTCTGGGTGCCCGTGGGGAATTACATGTGTGTATACATGAAATCCATGGATCCACATGTAGAGCTGTGTACTGTACATATGTGAGCCACTAGGATCCACATGTGGAGCTGTGTGCATGAGTGAACCCCATGATCCTGTGTGTAAATCTGTGTGAGCCCCATTGGATCCACATGTGGAAAAAAAAAAAAAAACTGTGCTGACCTGTGTCCTGTGGATACACATATGAACCCCTGTGAACTCCTTTCTGAAACTGTGTGCATGTTTAGATTGGAAGTGAAAGGAACAGGGCATGCTCCTGTGTGGCTCACAGGAGGCTTGCCTTCAAAGCAGGGGTGCACCAGTGAGAACCAGAACTCTTCCCCACCTATGCCTAAATGCCCAATGTCCACAGCACAAGCAAGCCAAACATCCTAGAGGCAAAGTGAGTCTCTCTTTCATCAGACGGCAGTCTGTCCACTCCTGACAGCAGCCTACCCCTGACCTGCTCCACTGACCTTGGCACGACCTTCCCACCTCCCCCTCCCCACCCGTACAGACTGGACCACAGCCCAGGAGCCCTCACTACCTCTACACTTTCCTTCCCATGGTTCCTCAACTTAGTGCAGACCCCAAAGAAACATCCCCAGGCAAGATTGGCACAAATGAACACTGCTGGCTCCACTGCAGAGAAGTGACAGATGAGAGAGGGCAAAGAGGGCAGCAGGGTCCACTTGGGAACCTGAAGGGGCAGGGAAATATATGCACTGCAGCTACTGAACTTGAAGAGGCAGCAGGCCCCAGCCACCGCAGCTCTACCTAATTTCAATAGATTAGCATTACCATCTCAGCTTCCAGGATCACAGCCGACACATTTCAGCCGCTCAAGAGCCACTTGAAACAATCAGCTGTGGTGTTGACATGTGAGGATCTAGACATTCTAGAAGGACCCACTAGAACTGGTACCCCAGATGCCTGGTCTG